AACTTGTTGGGTAAGGGATTGAATAAACTGAATTATTTTATTCAATGATACACCTACATTGAAGAGTAAAAAATTGAAAAACAAAACAACTAACTTTAAGAACCATAAGTAATTAAAATAAAATGCAAATAACTATAAAAGAAAGAATTTTTTAGAGCATGTGTTATTTGGCTTTACTAATGCGTGCTACATAAATATGTAGGTACCTATTGATTGCTACTTTATGGAAATGGCAAGAAGTTCGCACTTCCTAATGATTATGATTTCTTATCTTGAAAATGTTTTATCACATAGCACTAATAAAGGAAAAAATATGACCACATAGGTCCATGATAATGGTTTCACTAGACATAATTATCAGCAAATTAAAACACAGGACTAAATTATAAATTGCAATTACTTTTTTAATTGGATATGCTACTTTTATTGTTAAGCACTTGCTAGTGAGTAAAATAGGTTTTATCTTGGGGTTCATGCCTCTATTAACCTACTTGGTAATCTTTGTTCGACTTTATGGCATATCTCCAATTGATACGTTTAAAAATTGTAAAAAAGGAATACCTGATTAATAAGTTCTGTGCTAAGACCCAGATACTGATGAAGCGCTGTAAAAGTAACTCGTTGAAGTCGTACCATAATAACCTGTATGACTCTAATAAAGGTATCAGGGCATTCGTGAAAAATTTCATGAAAAGCAGCCATAGGAAGTTTTACAATTGTAGAATCCTCCATGGCCTTTGCGGACACTGTTCTGTACGGATTTGGATGACCCTACCAACAATTTTAATACACATTGCAAACCTTAAGACAACCATACCGTAAGGACATCTGTAAAACTCAGTAGGGACGTAACAGATTCGCCAGTTTTAACCATCTTTAACGATAAAATTGATCCATCCACAGCCGTAATAAACACGTTAACTTTACCACTCTGAACAATAAAAACATTTTCATCTGGTTCGCCGATTTTAAAAAGAAATGAACCTGCGGGCACGTTCATTATTTCCGTTTGTTTGCATATTTTTAGAAAAACTGGAGTTTCAAAGTAGCCAAAAACTCGCATGCTTTTTAGCAAGTAGTACACATCCCTCGGCATACGATCATCACTAAACAAGTCTTCCTCCAAATACTCGGCGGGCGGCTCTAAAACCTGTAAGATAAACGATATAGTAAGTTTCCAACTGGCAGTTCGACCACCTTTAATTGCTCCAATTCATTTTCTTTACGTAGACGCAACAACTTTCGGGCAAATCTCATTACCAGTTTTCGTTTTCGGCCCTGACCGGAACTGCGAACTTGACCCGATAACGATTTGACTTTCCTTAACATTTTCCTTCCATAAAACAGTGCTTTGTCTCGTTTTCGAAAACGTGATCCCCCAAAAGGTGTAGATTGCTTTAGAGATATACCTGCTTGCAAGTTATTTAGAAATTATGGATAGTTTGTAATTTACATACCTCGTATTTGCCATCTGCGGAAACTATACCAACAAGAACATCCAAGAATGGCAAAGATAAGTAGGGCTAACGCGTAATTAAACTGGAAGAGTAACATGCCTAATGAATAATTGTTTTTAGTTTCAACAGATTAAAAACATTCTGAAGTGTGAAATAAAATGGAATTATAACTTATTTTAATTAATGACTAATAAAATTGCGTTATTATTGTATAATAAGATAAAATGCGTATTAAATAAACAATAAACACGAATTATTAATACACAATACAATAGTTGACTGAATCACCTTGAACACTAGTAATTCCAAAATCACTTCAAAGTAGTTGGTATAAGTACTTCCAATCCAAAAAGATTTTAGGACGTTTCCAAAATCTCCATTAATTTCATTTAACAAATTCAAAATATCCATTTTTAAATTACATCCTAATAAACCATTTTCGTTTTTAAACTATTTTATTTATACATTATTTGACATTTGACAGCTACATCAATATTCCTGTCAGATAACACCAGCTGATATCAGTGGCGTAACTAATACTAATTTATTAAATCTTGGGCGTTCGTGAAAGCAATCCGAAAAGTTAACATTTTAGTTTATATCTGATTTGGGGTGAGTTTCCTTTGGTACTTTCCTAGTTCCTTCACTTCATTATTTAATATAACACGTTTTCGCCGATAAAACTAAAGTTAACATTAGATTTACATTAAGATACAGTCAGCTTATGTACATGTACATGTCTTTTTTTAAAAGCCGCTTTACAGGCAATTTTCGTGCAATGCAAGAGCAATGCAAGTTAGAGATACGTTACTGCGCATGTTCATACGCAATTCAGGTGCAAGAAAAATAAATAGAGAAAGTTCTATTTCACTTGCAAGTTTGGCGCAAGTTCTAGTAACTTTTCTAGTAATTTTGTCAATACCACAATTTATTTGGTTTCGCGTGTGTTATTTTGTGTGTTTTTTTTAATAGCAAGCGCCACCACATAACAAGTTGTAACCAGTTTAATTTCCTTTTGTTTGCTCATACCTAATGGTCAATTTTATTAAGTTTCAAGAATAACCTTCTGCGTAAACAAACTGAAAAGTTTCAATTTTTGAAAAATATGTTGGCAGTACTGCAACACTTTTCTGAACTCGCACAAAAGTTGCAAGACAATTGCATAAATGTAAAACCGTAATAAGCAATGCAAGGCAATTTTAGATTGCATAGCAGAAGCCTTGCATTGCACTAAAATTGCCTAATGTAAAGCGGCTTTAAGGCGAAATTTTGGAGGCATTCCTTTGGAGTATGCTTTTTTAAGCGTGAATTCTTCAAGGATTTCGTTTGGGCGTGAAAATTTCGAAGGGAACGAATCTACCGAGACGAATATTTTGTCAATAATATGAAATTCTGGAATGTAATAGATATAACAGGTATAATATAATATAGCAATTATTTCAAGAGAGAGGTTTTGAATAATAATTTTCTTTAAAGCAAGTGAAAGTATTCTGGAGGAAGATAATCTCCAGGAGACGAACTTTCCGGAAGTGAACCTTTCTATGACGAATATTACGAGCCCGCAACTCATTTATCTAGCTAGTTTTCTTTGGACTTTATAGACAAATGTTTTAGGGCGGATTTTCAAGTAATTGAGCTAATGAAATTAAATACACCAATATTATTTTATTTTAAAATGTTCGAAACACACAACCAATGAAGCCCAGGGACGTGATGTAGACAATTCCCACCAATCCCACCTGGAGAATTAGCACCAATAAAATAATTTGCAGTCGGACAATTTGCACCGGGACATTTTATTGCTTCCATGATATTTCGCATCCTGGACATTTCGCTTCCGGATAATTCGCAACCGCGGAAAATTTGCATTAGGGATACTTTTGGTACTATAAGCATTGAATTTATAACTATCAATTCAATGCTATAAGTTCATGAAACTCGAGGAGATTTTCAATAAATATGGTACTACTATTGTAAGTCATTTTAATCATGTTTATTCGCATTCGTAGGAAGTTATCCAAGGAGAACAATACCTATTCCAATTTAGGTATTATTTCAGCTTTAGCGTCATAAGTAGGCTATTTTTTCCTGAAAAAGATTATTTTATTTAAAGTAATTGCTGTTTGTTTGCACCTAGAGCTAGACATTTTTTATCTTTTTTAATTTTTTTTATTGTTAAATATGTATAGCAAGTGCTAGAGACTCCCACTAGAATTTCCGATTCGTGGATAAGTACGCCACTGAAATATAAACACTTGTTTGGGGGATTGTGTAAAAAATAACCACAAATTAATTCAAAAATTCAGGAATTTCGTATCAATATATTTCAGGATTGAACCTGTAAAAATAAATGCTAATTAAAACTCTGACGAGTTAATAATACTTCCAGGTTGTTAAAGATTTGATTCTATTTATTCTCCTTTTAAAAATAAACATGTACCCTAAATTAATTAACCTATACCTATTTTCAGTGTTTCAGCACTATCTTAGCAGAATGGGTCTCGGCGAGGAGGTGAAACCGGGGACCTTACTACTGACTGAACAGCCCTTTGTTTATGTTCTTACATCTAAATACAGGACGGAATATTGCGATTTTTGTTTTGCAAAGTAGGTAAATAAAAGATCATATACCTATAAAACTTATAATTTATTTGTAGGAGTGAACTGCGAAAGTGTGCCAGTTGCCACTATGTGTATTATTGTGGAAGGTCTTGTCAGAAAGACGGATGGTCGATTCATAAGCACGAGTGCAATAATTTAAAGAGAATATCGCCTAGAATAATTCCAGATGCAGCCAGGTTATTATCACGTATATTAAAAAAATTAGCCAAAGGAGGTTCCGAAATTAAATCGTATTACACTAAAACCAAATATAGAAAATTTAAAGATTTAATGTCGCGTAAGTTGTCTAACTATAGTTGCAAATACACCGTTATTGTTGCATAGATTATACAAATATAAAGGATGATATTAATCGAATAGAACATTTTCAATCCTTGTGTGGAGTTTTAAACGACTTTCTGGGTACAGATTTCATTCCTAATCCAATTGAACTAATGGGTATGTATGGAAGAGTAAGTGTAATTTAGTCATGCGTTACTGGTTTTTCAAAATGTGTCTTCTAGATGTGCGTTAATAGTTTTAACATATGCGACGAAGAGTTAAAAAGTTTAGGCACCGGGATTTATTTGGCGGCATCCATTATAGATCATTCATGCCAACCCACTGCTGTGGCAACATTTCAAGGAACTCGTTTAAATATTCGTGCTACTGAAACAATGCCTTGTTTAAACTGGGACAAAGTGGGTAAGTGGCATTACAAAAAAGTTCTTTTTAATGTGCGTTTTAGGTTTTTGTCAGCTACATTGATACATTATATAAACCTGAGGCACGCCAGAAGGAATTGATGGCAACATACTACTTCATGTGTCAATGTCCCAAATGTTTAGATCCTTTGGAACCTATTCATATGTCTGCGGCAGCTTGTTCTAATCCACACTGCGATTCCTTAGTAGAAATAAGGGACTATGACCAAGTTTCAAACTGTGACCAGTGTGACTCCCCCATTTCTCGACAGTTTAAGCAGCTCTATAAGGATGTAACTGAATTTACAGATGTCCATTTGCAGAATATGAAATTAGCATGTATCCTTTGACCCAGAAAAAAATTCAGTATGTGGCATTACCCTAAAGTTCCCAAAAAGAGTTGTTCTTATTTTTGTTATTTTTTGCCTACCAAAAAAAAGAAGCATAATCAACCGGGTTACCGGTATATTTTCTAATTTCCCGTCAGTTCTGTGAGTATGAACCTATTGCTTCCTTTACAGCAAATGTAGATCTAGACGTCTGTAAAGTCTGCTTAAACAGGCACAAAGGGGTTCTGCACAATTTAAACATACAGCATGTAAGAATTTTAGATTCAGCCTTCGAAAGTAGTATTGATTTTGGACAATGGGATGACGCAAAAATATTTGGCATATCTTTAATTGCTGGTTACAGGTACGGATCAACTTTTTTTAATGCACCATTTTTACTTTGCTGTTTTTCAGAAAATATTTGGGTGACACTCATCCGTTGCTAGGTATTTTGTATTTGAAGTTAGCCAAGATTTTGATCTATCAGGAAAATATTCAAGATGGGAAACAGTATTTACACAATGCGTGTAAGATAATTAAAATAACTCATGGAGAAGATAGTAATTTGTATAGAAGTGAAATAGCGTCTTTAATTCAGAATTGTATGTACTAATATTAATTATGTCATTAATTAATAAACTAAGATATACGAATAAAAGGTTTTTTAATTTAGTTATTCCATAATAGATATCATATAGGAGGTTGATTAAATGGAATCAAACATGCCAAATTTTACAATGAGAGCATTATTGATGTAGTTTTCATTTTGACAGCCGAACACATATCACTTATTTTTTTCTTTTGACTGCCAAATTGTAAGTATTTGGGATTTTTTCAATAGATAGATTTTATATCATAAAAATGATATATGTATAGGTTCTTTACTGATGTTTTAGTTGAACTAAAATACTTCTTCCTTCATTTTTAAGAAAGTGCCTTGCAAGACTTGTGATTTTTTACATAGTGTGTCCCACTTCCTCATAGCAAAGGTCATACTACACCCAATAGGAACTTTTATCTAAAAGATGGTGCCCACAGAAAATCAAGAATCAGTGTACTGAAAAAAATGGACATTCATATTGATTATTTTATTACCTATGAGATATACTTATTTAACAGTTTCGATCATGGCATACTATATAGGAATATGTGAGGGTATATTTATTGATAAAGTATTATAATTAATAATTGGGCGTACGTGGTATCGACATATTTTTGAGTGTCGGTAACCGATGATTTTTGGTGTTTTATGATCAATTTCTATTATAAAAAATATTTAGTGTAGAATTCTAATTAGTTAACAATAATTTGCTTAGGAAAAAGGACTATACTATGTTTGCAGTTTTTCTTTTGAGGTGGATAACAAGCGATCACAAATGAGTTGCTGTCGAGTCACCTTTGGAAGTTCAAGTTAAATACGATTTTCCATGTAAACAAAAGTTCCAAAGGTGGCTCGATAGCAACTCATTTTTGATCGCACAGTATACTTTAGTGTAGTAGTGTGTGCAACATGAGCAGTTTGGGTCTAGTCTGTTGTTGTCACTAGTAGGTACTTGTTGTAAAAATCAATTTGGTGAGATTTACTGTTTATTGCATAAAGAAAACATGACAACGGATTAATTACCTATTTATATATTATTGTTATTTATGAAAGGATAAAAAATATTTAATTAATAAAATCAGAGACCTGTTGCAAATATTAAACATTATATACATAAAGCAAATTCTATCACAAAAGTTACGAATTGTGCAATAACTTATTAAAAGCAGCATATGAACTTTCTAAATCAAATAGGAGCTGGCGAACCTGAGTTTCCGATAATTCATCAGACACCTTCATGGAATCCAATGTGTTTAACCACTCGATCATCTTTTGCTTTCCTTCAAAGTCAGATGGAATGATACTAAAGCGTTGCATTGTGTCGACCAAATCTTTTAATTCCGGATGAAGTTCGTCCATAGCTGTAATGCCCAATCTCAATTTATCCATTAGTGTAATAAATAGGGAAACGATGTCGGCAATGCACTTGCTAGTGTTTCCTTTATCATCTCTAATGGTAATGGGATGACCTTCTTTGATACGTTCCAATGCAGCGGGGCAATCTAAACGATATTTACGTACAAATGCGTCGACCGTAGGGAAAGAGTCGCTTTCAACTTGACGAAATGCCGCTTTGTACTGTACTAGTAGCTTGCTACAAGCACCCGTGTATTCTTTAGGCACTACACAATCGCGAATGTAAGCTTTTTCCAATTGTTGCAAAGTATTTATTACTGCATACAAATCCGCAAGGTTATCAAACTTTTCTCTTTCTCTTGCATTCTGATATAATTTCACTTCTTCGTATAATTCAGGTCTGTTATCTTGATTAACAGCCATCAGTAATTTTAGATTATAAATGGGCAATTAATTAATAAATTCACAGCAATGACTAATTCTAACCTTAAAATGTGACAAGTAAACAAAATAGTACTGAAAGCGCATGCGTAAGTGTTCATACAGGGTAACCCAAAAAAACATTTTAAGCCTATGTTTATTTCAGTACCTATACGTGAGAAGTTTGTGCAAACTTACACATGCAATCCCACTTGATATGGAACACACTGTACACTCATATCTTATTTCTAAACCGATATCGTACTCCATACCTACTACCATTGTATTTCTACTACTGATGTGCACATCCATTGACTCAGGGCGGGTTTATGCAACTTCTTTATGTTTAATGCTTAATTGTTTTTTTTAATCCGTTATGCATAGATCTTAACTCTTAAGTAATTTCCCAACACAAGTTTATACAATTTTGTAAGTCTTTATTTTTAACACCAAATAACTGCCAATCAAATTGAGGGACTTGAGACGCCAACTGATATTACGAAAAATCGCGCATGCGCCATGTTCAGGTTTCTCAATTGTTAATTCTTAATGCTTAAAAGTTAGGAACTTTCATGGTCATGCACTAAGAATTACGGTACGAATTAGGAACTAAGAAATTGGAGAAACGCGATCATTAGACATTCTACGTTTATCTTTTTATTTTATAAGAATTACGAATTAAGATTTAACTATTAAGCATAAAGAACCCGCCCTCACAGTAAGGCTTTTAGTTGCCTTATTTTTTTTGTTTTCGGAAAGATTCAAGAAACAATAGGAAGAAAATGAATCTATGGAGATTGTAACGACTCTAATAGTTCTCAAGGTTTTTTTGTAGAGGTTCTCAACATTTAATTTAAAAGTTTCAGAAATCCTATAGGAATTTCAAGAAAATTTTAAAAATGAGTGTATAAAATGATTTGAAGAAAATTTAAAAAAATATTCTAAAAAGAAGGAGTATTTTGGAATTCCTCTAATAGGATATGATGCCAGAAGATTCTATTATAGAAAGATTTAAACGTTTTGAGCATATATGCGAGTGTGTAAAGCGGATGGGGTATACAAGAGGAAATTTTTTTTTAAATATTGATTTATGAAAAAAATTTATTCTTCATGATATGTTTTGCTTGCTTTGAAAGTGCCAATAACGTTTCGATAATCTAAAATGTATTTATAGAAATCTGGAAAAATAATAAAATTAATTTTTTTTATTGAAAGTTATCATTCTACATTATAATTAAGATAGAGTATTGCTATCAAACCACAAACAATCGAAACGTTATTGGTACTTTCAAAGCAAGCAAAAAATATTATGAAGAATAAATTTTTTCATGAATCAATATTTAAATAAAAAGTTCCCTCTTGTATACGCCATCGCTTTACACATAGTATATTATGGTTTTGAGTGGTGCGCTCTTGACACCGCGCTCAGTTTGATGTTGATTAGTCGCCTCTTACGACACGCAGAGCAATCTGCGGTAAGGGTATTCTTTCCCGCCCTTACACGGGTAAATCCAAAATACTGAAACCACAAAACTAGAATGAAATGTTTTCTACTTTCCGAAAGATTCTGTGTGGATGGATTAATTATTTGTAGGGGTAATATAGTTCGCAATATAGTTTATAGAATCTTTTAGTACCTACCCAAAATATTTCTTTAAAATACAAATTTACAGGGAAGTAAACTAATTTTCAAAAAATCTATATGCGTTGTAATGTTTCATATGTAAGTATTTTGCGTTTTAATTCGTAGATGTTTGAATATTTAGATAAACTTCTTTGAGAATTTGTGACATTTTTTGACGTTTCGCCAACCTTATCTGAAATAAACTAATTAAACAAATCGTCTTTGGAATGATTTGAGAGTAACCATGAAAACGCATTTTCTATAACTGTCACAAAATAAAAATGTTAGCCAGTTTGTTGTTTTTTATGTTATCGATTTAAAAGAAGTATAATAAAAAGTATCGTTCATTACACGTCCAGAAATGCTTTTTCCGTGCTTGCATGACTTCCCGTGTTCGGCGGGAATTTGCCACGCGCGCACGGAAAAAGCCTGCTTTCCGGACTCCTAATGAAATATACTATTTCATTATTGTTAGGTTTTATGTATTTGTTATTATTTATTTCCCGAAAGCAATCACATCTACTTTTTGTTTGCTATGCATGTATATCTGAGGTTTCGAGCCTAGTTCACTTAGTAATGATGAAATGCTTGTCTTGGCAATAGCAATGGAAATTGAACAAGAAGCTAAAAAAGAAAGAAGAGGACATACTGGGTGCACAAATTTGATAAGTGGAGTCTTTCTGAAGGCGGATTCCATTTATTGTACAAGCGCTTATTGGAAGACCCAAAAAAATGTTATGTCCGGGTAGTCTATCACAACAATTACAGTCGAACTTCCATAACTCGAATTTTTGATAACTCGAATCAACTTGGTTGGCAATAGCTGCAACAGTAAGGCGTATGTTCAATTTTTTCCTTGATAACTCGAACTCCTATTACTCGAATGTCTTGATAACTCGAGCAAATTAAGTGCGCACGACTTTGATAAGTCGAATTCTGTGAAGTCCCTTAACTGTAACCGTTCGTTTTATAGCTTAACCTTGAAGACAGTGCGTTTTCAGCATTACTCATCAAAGTTCGTTGGTTGTTGCGCGGATTTCTATACAGGTGTGCGTGTTTTATTAGTTGTTTCAACGCGAATATTCGTTAATTTGATTTTCTTGTTGACGATGTCATTAAAACGCACTTTAAAAACTTTATCTATTGACGATAAATATAGACTTTTAAAAGAAGTGGAAGGTGGGGCACGAAAAAAAGATATGGCTGTGAAATTATATACATTATACATACATAGATTGCAGTATGTCCACTATTGAACTTTGTAATGCATTTCCTTTCATAATAAATATGTTTACGTAAATAATACACGGTATATGCATACTATGTGTTTTATTCAATAAGTCAAAGTTTTGATAACTCGAAATTTTTTTCTGTCAAGTCATGATTTATCGAAGTTCGACTGTAGTTCTTTTTTACACTGATCTTTTTCTACAATTGTCGATAAAATGTTTACTTAGTCAAATGTAGGACATGTCCAAAGATTCTTTTTATAACACAGACCATGTTCTGACAGATTACCATCCGCACATGAACAGTACTATTGATCTGGTAGCATTTAGACTTGCAGGCCTATGTTCTTTTAGTTTTAAAATACTTTAGTACTGCAAGCACCTACCAATAATTTAAAATGCAAATACGAAAGGTTACTTTCAATATTTTATTGAAAAAATTGTTTAACAAATCAAATACTAGCCTACAATAACAATAAAAAAATAATTATACTGAAAGCTATTGAGGATCGTATGCTAATATTTGAGAAAAAAATAAATTAACTACTTGTAATGACGACATTCGTTTCAATATAAAATTCTTCTTCAGTTGTTGAGAGACAGGGTTTTTACCACTTAAAACGAAAAACATTTGACTAAACTGTTCACACATGTCCATTCACACATCTCACTTGGGCTAGTATTAAATAAGTTTATAAATCAGTCTTGGAACTTTATAATTCATCCTTAAGATCATCATCCTCGCCACTTGGTGGTGGTGGACCGCCTGCACCTTGATATAACTTGGAGATAATCGGTTGGACTACATCTTCCAGCTCTTTCTTTTGTTTCTTATAATCTTCGGCCTCTGCTTCGGGATTTTCTTCGAGCCATTTAATTTTTTCTTCGATTGCTTCTTCCATTTTACTCTTTTCATCGTCGGATATCTTTGATCCCAATTTTTCCTTATCGCTAAGTTGATTTTTAAGCGAATACGCGAAACTTTCAAGTTCGTTGCGAGATTCGACACGGTCCTTAAGTTTCTTATCCTCATCAGCGAATCTTTCGGCATCCTTTATCATTCTATCGATATCTTCGGGTGTGAGACGATTTTGATCGTTTGTAATTACAATCTTTTCTTTGTTTCCGGTTCCCTTATCTTCGGCGGATACTTGTAGAATACCGTTGGCGTCGATTTCGAATGTTACCTCAATTTGTGGTACACCTCTAGGTGCCGGTGGTATGCCAGTTAAGTCGAATTTGCCCAACAAATGATTGTCTTTAGTCAACGGACGTTCTCCTTCGTAAACTTGGATGGTTACGGTGTGTTGGTTGTCGGATGCGGTGGAGAATATCTGAGATTTCTTTGTGGGAATGACAGTGTTACGTGGAATGAGTTTGGTCATGACACCTCCTACGGTTTCAATGCCGGTTGTTAAGGGGTTTACATCGAGTAGGACGATTGAGTCGGTGGCTTGTTCCCCAGATAACACTCCGGCTTGTACAGCGGCACCGTAAGCGACAGCTTCATCAGGATTGATACCGCGAGATGGTTCTTTGCCTCCGAAGAATTCCTTGACGAGTTGCTGTACTTTAGGAATACGAGTGGATCCACCTACCAAAACAATTTCATCTACGTCTTTCTTGTTCATGTCGGCATCTTCAAGAACTTTTTGTACAGGCTTCATGGTCGAACGGAAGAGATCCATGTTGAGCTCCTCAAATTTCGCTCTGGTGAGTGCTTCTGAGAAATCGTCGCCTTCGAAGAACGATTCAATTTCGATTCTGACTTGGTGAGCAGATGAAAGAGCACGCTTGGCCTTTTC